CTCAGTTTTCCTATGTCCCTTTAAACTGTGGGTTTTCTCTGGAAGTTTTTTGCCTTTTGTCGATGTAGGGTCTAAGGACAGAGGTGTCCTATTGTATACCTGATATTTCTGACAGAACTGTGAAGTCCACTGAGACAACATGTAACATTTTGATATTGGCTATATATAAACATTGTTGATGATTGATTGATACTCAGATCTTGATACATTGACAAAAGTAGAAGTACTCAGATCTTGTACTTGATAAAAGTAGAGTACTAGAGTGTGGAGGATGAACTCTGTTACAGTAAGAAATCCTGCAATGTAATATGTTCGTCAAGTAAAAGTACAAAAGATTGATTAGTATCGAGTTATTTTAGAACTTTTTTTTTAACTGTATACTGTGTAACGAGTTTGGTTTTAATTTGTCAATAGGGGGCAGAACGCTCAGTCATCTTCATTTGCATTAACCCATGAACTCAGACAATCACAACACACACACACAAACATCACACACACACACACACACACACACAGCACCACACACACACACACACACACACACACAACACACACACACACACAAACCGCAGGGCGATAAATGACCAAATAGCACCGCTCATCCGGTGCTGGCATCAATTATCGGATTTCCTTGTATGTCATGGTATCAGACTACTTCCTGTGCGCTGTGTGGTGTGTGTGTGTGAGTGTAGTAGCGTGTGTGTGTGTGTGTGTGCTTTTTTTGTGCTGTTTGTTGAGCGTAGTGCTCATGTGTGTGTGATGTGCTGGAACTGATAAGCATGAGAGAGTCAGAGGTGATGCTGAGGCAATTGCAAGGGAGAGGAGAGATTACATGACATACACCTAGGCGATTGCAAACACACAGGGTAAGGAATATGATATATGATGTATCGCGTATATGAGTTCTCATGAGAAATATTCAGGGCCACATATTGGCAGTGTATGTTTTAATTAGTGCTGGTTAGCGGAAATATTTGAAATTGAGGCGAGTAATACATGATTCTGTGTCCGCCAAGAATCCTGAACATGTGAGCAAGTCTTTGATAGCCTAAGTTATGTAAAATCTAATCGAAAGCTAAATTGCTGGTTGGCATGCAAATTGTAATTTCGTTGTACTCTTGTGTCAATGACCAATAAAGTTGAATATAATCGAATCGAATCTAATTGCGAATTCAATAACAACTGTTTATTTTTGTAATCGTAGTATGATGACATAAAAAAGTTAGTACCCATTACAAATGTTTTGTGATTATGTTATTAATACTGTCCATTAAGAGTCCTCTCCTCGCTGATGTTCAGTAGTGTATTAATCAGTAATGTATGTGGTCTCTACTCTTAAAGAGTCCTCTTCCTGCTGATGTCAGGTGGTATCATATCAGTATGCTAGTGTCTCTAACTGTTAAAGGAGTCTCTCCTCCTGAGTTCAGGTGTATAGTCCAGTATGTAAGTGGTCTCTACTTTTAATAAGAGTCCTCTCACTGCTGATGTTCAGAAGTGTATTAATTCCCCAAAGTGTATGTAGTGTCTCTACTTTAAAAAAGAGTCTCTCCAGTGAGGTTCAGACGGTTGGGTTATATCAGTTAATATGTAGTGTACTCTACTTTAAAGAGCCCTCTCCTGCTGATGTTCGAGGTGTAAATATCAGTATGTAGAGTGTCTCTACTCTTAAGAGTCCTCTCCAAGCGTATGTTGTCAGGTGTATATCAGTATGTAGTGTCTCTACTTTAAAGAGTCCTCTCCTGCTGGATGTTCAGGTGGGGTATATCAGTATGTAGAGTCCTCTACTTTAAGAGATCTCGTCCAGCTGATGTTCAGAGTGTATTAATCAGTATGTAGTGTCTCTACTATTAAAAGAAGGCGCTCTCCAGCTGATGTTCTGTGTAATCAGTAATGTAGTGTCTCTACTTAAGATCCTCTCCTGCTGATTTCCAGGTGTATGATCATATGTATGTCTCTACTTCGAGAAGAGTCCTCTCCTCTGATGTTTCAGAGTGTATATCAGTAAGTGTATGTCTCCTACTTTTAAAAGAGCCCTCTCCTGCTGATGTTAAGGTGTATGATCAGCTATGTAGTGTCTCTAACTGTTAAAAGAGTACTCTTCCTGATGTCTCAGGTGTATAAGTATGTACGTGTCTCTACTTTAAAGAGTCCTGTCCTGCTGATGTTCAGGGTGTATAACAGTATGAGTAGTGTCTCTACTTTAAAGAGCCTGTCCTGCTGATGTTCAGGTGATATCAGTAGTAGTGTCTCTAACTGTTAAAGAGTCCTCCTCCATGCCTGATGTTTCATGGTGTAGATCAGTATGTATGTCTTCTACTTTAGAAGTCCTCTCCAGCTGATGTTCAGGTATATCAGTATGATATTGTCTCTACTTTAAAGAGTCCTCGTCTGCTGATGTTCAGATGTATAGATCGCGAGTATGTAGTCTCCTACTTTAAAGAGTGCCTCTCGCGAGCGATGTTCAAGCGTGGTATAGTCAGCATGATAGTGCTCTACTACTTAAAGAGTCTCCTCCCAGCTGATGTTCATGTTTATATCAGTAAGTAGTATCGTAACTTTACAGAGTTTCCCACATGACACTACAATTCACCTGTATAGTCAGTTATGTAGTTCTCTACTTTAAAGAGTCCTCTCCTGCTGATGTTCAGGGTATATCAGTATGTATGTCTCTCTAGGTGTATATCAGTCCTCTCCTGCTGATGTTCAGGTGTATATCAGTATGTAGTGTCTCTACTTTAAAGATCCTCTCCTGCTGATGTTCAGGTGTATATCAGTATGTAGTGTCTCTACTTTAAAGAGTCCTCTCCTGCTGATGTTCAGGTGTATATCAGTATGTAGTGTCTCTACTTTAAAGAGTCCTCTCCTGCTGATGTTCAGGTGTATATCAGCGTGTAGTGTTTCTACTTTAAAGAGTCCTCTCCTGCTGATGTTCAGGTGTATATCAGCGTGTAGTGTCTCTACTTTAAAGAGTCCTCTCCTGCTGATGTTCAGGTGTATATCAGTATGCAGTGTCTCTACTTTAAAGAGTCCTCTCCTGCTGATGAGTTCCATAGTGATGTCACTGTGTTCAGGAAGTGTCAAGCCAGCCATAAAAACAGATAAATAAAAATAATAAAGTCATATTTATCTCACTGCAGTCAAAGTACTAAATATAAACTGTAAAAAATAAAGTAAAATGTTCAATGCATTATTAAAGTACTGTTTATTAATCAAATGTATAAAATGGTGTTGTAATTGGGACATTGTCACTGTCTGTGTATTTGATCAACACTTATTATCTTATTATCGCAGCTGAACTGCGTTAACAAATAAAAACTGACATGTTTACAACATTTCATACAGTATGCATTAAGGCCATGCTTCACAGTAATGGCTCAGCTGTAAACACCGGGAAGTGTCCCATTAAATGTCCTACAGAGTCATTATTGACGAGCGTGCAGTGAACTCACCGTCTCTGTAGAACGACTCCTCTAGCGGCTTCGGGTGCATTAACGTGAACGGCAGCTCCACAGAGACGTCACTGAAACACAAATCATCAGAAGCACCGCCATAAAAACACCCATAAGCCTCAGTGGCTTTATTACACACATCTATTACTGGGACTATAATCCCTGCCCTCTGTAAATCTCAGTGACAGAATGAGAAAGGTTACCTCGCCGCCAGATCTCCCAGGAGCCTGAAATAAAAAAACATTAACGCTTTAGTTTCATCTCATTGCTGATGATGTGCCAATAGCGGCCATCTCGGTCCAGGACCAGATGGACTGAAATGCAGATAAAAAGCCTTAGATGGCGGATATCTTTTTTCAGTTCAATCACCAAACTATTGGTAATTGGCCTTGGAGCTTTAAATAACTGAAATGTAAATCAGTTCAACAAGTAAGGAAACAAGGGGGTTGTATACGATCCAGAAAACAGCTTTGACCCCCTCTTGACTTTTTGTCATCTCCAGAGTTAGGCACAGAAACTGGTGATCCTACGGTGCTACAACAAGATGTTTTCTAAATGCTGCATGTTTCCTCAAGTTGCTGAAGATGTTTCTACTTGTGTTTTAGCCCATATGTGTTTTTGTATCTGCGATCTCGTCTCCTCTGATAATTTCAGTTAATGAGTTCAAATCACTCACCCGCCTCGAGACACGACCAGCTTCACTTTGACTTTGTACGACACGATAATGCCGAGGATCTCCTTATTGGCTCCTTCCCTCAACCTGAGCAAAACACATTCAAATGGACCAATAAGAAGCCAGTAGCATGTCAGTATAGTAAAGTCAGAATTCAGAACAAAGTCAGATTTAGTAAGAATTCTCTTTTTTTCTTTCACTTTAGTTTGGATCTAAAAAATTCCCATGTGGCCTTTATCCTCTTCCGTAATACAGTGGTTCAGGAATGAGTCCTAAAACCCGGAAGTGAGTCAGCATTTTACCACTTCCTGTTCCCTCGTCTCAGAGTCAACGGGATTTCTCCATAGGATTTTGGAAAGCAAAGTCAAGAGACGGATCACGTTTTGTTCTAGGACATTAAATCATCAGCAGTGACCCCACTGGTGATTTCTGAAGAGTTGACGTGTCTGAGAAACGATGGTTGTTACCAAGTGGCTGAATAGGACTACAGAAGTCGTGGAGGACGTTGTACGTCATTACGCCGAACACGTAAACACTCCTCTAAGTTAGTTTCTGTTCTGCTTGAAAGCAAGTCCCTGCCTCCTGCAGACTGTTCAAACAAACGCTTCAACTCGTTCCATTTAGAATCTGTGTGTTTGAATATGGATCTTAAGTTGGCGTGACGTTGAAGACGTGCTGCTGGCTTCAGCTGTAGCTCCTTTATAGCATAACGTTAGCATTTTGCTTCTGGAGATTAGATTTATGATTGGAACATTATAAAAGTAGACGTGTGGAGATTATCCAGCTGAACAAAACGTGCATTTATCAAACAGGTTCCTTTTCCACAGATCTTATTTTTTATAATATTCCAAAATCCTCTGGAGCACTCCCGTTGTTTTTTTGTCGAGGGAACCAGCAGCTTCCTTCAGGGTCGAGCTACAGAAACACGTCATCACTGCACCGCTCTGTTGTTACTCTTGTAACTATATACACTTTTTACAATACCTTCAGGCTCAGTTGCAGGATTTCGTGAATCAGCTGATTAAAGAGTCTTCCCCTGTCCCATGGGCCATGAAGGCATCATGTTTTGACTCACAGTGTGCTGGAGGCCAGGTTGGTGTCCTCGTGCTTCAGCTTCCCGTCCAGAGCCAGGCCTCGCTTCTCCCGGTTGCTGGCCAGAAACGGAGTGAGGGTGAAAACTTTGCAGAACGTCGAACTGGGAGCAACGAGATCGCTGAGGACAGAGAAATATAAAATAACATTAAAGATATATCCTTTTGACTTTGAAATATACAAACCCGGGTACGAAATGAACATTATAGCATCGTGTTTAACATGTCAAAGGTATGTTTGTTTATATTAAATATTTCAAAACTTCAAAACAGAGAATATAGTACAAAGTCACTGAAAACGAGAGATTAGCATAAAAATCACCAGATTAACGCGTAAAGTTACTGATTAACGCACAAAGTTACTGATTAACGCACAAAGTCACAGATTAAAGTTCAAAATGACTGATTAACGTCAAAGAATAACGTGTAAAATTACAAATGAGCGTTATAAACACACACTAACATAAAAGTCAGGTATTACCTTACAAAGTCACAGAATCACGAAAGAAATATCTTAAATGATTAGGTTTGTTTGTTTGCAGATGATTTAAATAAATTCCTCACATTACATAAACAGCAGAAGGCTCCAGATAAATTATAAAGAAAGGACAAATAAATGAAACTGACTCTGACTCCTCGGTGGCCACCGGACATTTGTACTGCGCCGTGTTGAAGAGGCAGATATCTGCGTACTGTCGCACTGCGGACACACAAAACATCCGTCACTAACAGAGGTGGAAGAAGTACTCAGGTCTGGCACTTGAGTTAAAGTAGAAGTACTCAGGTCTTGTACTTGAGTTAAAGTAGAAGTACTAAGATCTTGAGTACAAGTAGAAGTACTCAGATCTTGTACTTGAGTAAAAGTAGAAGTACTCAGATCTTGTACTTCAGTAAAAGTACAAGTACTCAGATCTTGTACTTCAGTAAAAGTAGAAGTACTCAGGTCTTGTACTTCAGTAAAAGTAGAAGTACTCAGATCTTGTACTTCAGTAAAAGTAGAAGTACTCAGGTCTTGTACTTCAGTAAAAGTAGAAGTACTCAGGTCTTGTACTTCAGTAAAAGTAGAAGTACTCAGATCTTGGGAGATGTTCAGGTATTAAATAACAAAGTGAACCTTTGAGGTCAGAAAGCTGTTTTACAGAATTGTAATTCTCAGGCGGCTTCATGACGAGGCGACTTTTCTCCAAAAAGAGGAAGTTTGGAGGTTTCCCAGCATGCATTGGGGCTGCGGTGCATTGGTCATGAGTCAGCAGTTTGTAAAAAACAGACTTTCTTCTTCTGCAGTTTGAGATGTGAGTGCAGATTATTCAGGCTGATCAGATGTTTAAGGAACTTTTAAAGAGGATTTGATCAAAACGTCGTCTGAAGGAAATGTTGTGTAATGCTTAACTCTGAGTTTCAGTCCGAGGATTCACTTCAAACGGAGATATAGACCCAACAGAAAGACTCTCGAGGTGCATCTTGAACATGCTGCATGCACGTGCTCAGACTCATAATTCTTCTGTTAGTATTTGATTCTCATGTTGTTGTCTTGCTTTGCAGTCCATTCAAGTTTCCAACGTGCAGAACATATTGAAATACTTCTAATAATCTCTCGCGAAGTGCCGCCATCTTTACGTGAATCTGCTTCAATGTAATTTGACTTTTAACTTTAGTTTATGTATATTTGTATTTTAATCAGAGGGTTTAGCACGAGGCCTTTCTCAGTTCATCATCCTGTGAACGAACGTGTCTCATGAAGATGATTAATACTCCTAGCTTCCAGACACGTTTCCCAACATGCATCTAACTCTCAGACCTTGCAGCATTGCCCCTGTTTGTCCACGTTGTACTCAGAGGGTCTTTTGTTGTGTGGCTTGATTCAAGAGCAGGACATGTTTTATGGTGTCTTCTGACTCTCGTAAAGAGCGATGCATCTTTAGAGATATGCACATTTCTAAAGGACATTCACTTGAAAACGTTGCAGTGTTTCACATGTTTCCCACATCGGGTCCCTTAGCTCGGGTCCAGATGAGTCGTCTCTTTCTCTCTTGAATATTCTGCACGTCTGTGGTCACAAAGCAAACAAACCAACAACAACAAGTCGACGTGTTTCAGAGACATTTCTTCCATATTTTGAGGAGTTTCTGAAGAAACAGGAAGTCGTGCGGTGGCATGCAAATACTTTACGTGTTCTTAAATATTACCAAATCACTCAAAACACCACATGCCGAGTGTAATATTATTATAACATATTCCATCCTGTCATTCAGAAAGCGAGAGGATGTTTAAACACCAACGCTTTCTGTTTAACGTTAGCTGCAAGTCATGTTCAGTGTTCAGGCTGTAATGCTGACTGATGTTGTTTTGAAGAACCTCCCTGCTCCCTGCATGTATCTGGTATTTGCATCATGTATGATATTCTATATGATCTATCTTAATAACCGGTGATCCATCCCTGCTCGTCGTCACGTGGATCAGAAACTCAGGACTTCAGGCTCTCCTCGCTCTCGCTCCGTTACTCAGAAAGCTTTATTATATCAACTGAAATCATGTCAGGATCTTCACTTTGTTTCCAAAGAATCTGGTTCCTTATGCGTCATTAAGGGATGTTTGTTGGTGAAATGCACCCTGGGAGTCGTAGTTGTCGACAGGCTTTTTGAGTTTTTATCAAAGGAACATCGTTTTCCTTTCTGAGACCATTGAGATGATAAAGCTGAACAACTGTCTCACACGTGTGGTCACATGACTCCTCCTGATGTTACTGTAGATCTGCTGGAAGCTAGCTAGCTAGCTCGCTAACGTAGCTTATTTTTTTAGTCACCTTTTTCTTGTTAACAATTTTTTTAGTCAACTTTTATTTTTTGTACATTTTGTAAGTCTACTTTTATTCTAGTCTTCTTTTCTTGTAAACTTCTTTTTGTCATCAACTTTTTTTTCCTTTTATCACCCAATGTTTATTTTGAGTCAACTTTTCTTTGGTTAACTTTTTGTTACGCTCATTTTGTTTTTTGTCGCCAACAATTGCTTTTTTCATGATTTTCCTTTATTGTCATCAACTGTTAATTGTTTTTTGTAAAACATTTTTTTTGTCACCATCCTTTTTCCCCTTTTGTCACCAAATGTTATTTTCTTGTCCGCCACAAGTTTTTGGGCCCGTCATCAACAACTTGACCAATAACCAATAACCAGCTGCATGTGTTGCTGAAGATGTTTCTTCATGTGTTTCTATATCTGCGTCCTTTCTGAGGCTGCATCACGTTTGTCCTGATGAAGAGCTTTGCTAGCGTCTGCAGTCAAACATCAAAGTACTACATACTACTAATCAAACTTTAAATCCAGAAAACACGACGGAGCCAGATGTTCTGCATTCTTATATCATTATCATTTATGTGTTATTTGCATACTTCATGGTTGTTCAAACACTCAGCTAGCTTCCCTGAGCAGCAGCGATGCTAACAGATGTTTCTGTGAGGTATTCTTTACGAGTGAACCTCTGACAGCTGACACAGAGAGAAGCTACACGATGCTAACAGTAAACACTGATAAGATAAACCACCAGGAAAATTCCTGCTTCATTTCTGAGGCGTGTTCACATTCCTGCAACATATTAACCCTTTAGATGAAACACACTGTAGCTTTACACACCTCAGAACACAGCTAACACACACTGCTAACACACAATGCTAACACACACTGCTAACACACAATGCTAACACACTGCTAACACACACTGCTAACACACAATGCTAACACACAGCATGAGGCTAACACACAGCATGAAGCTAACACACAGCATGAAGCTAACAGCATGAAGCTAACACACTGAAGCTTTACACACCTCAGAACACAGCTAACACACACTGCTAACACACAATGCTAACACACAGCATGAGGCTAACACACAGCATGAAGCTAACACACAGCATGAAGCTAACACACAGCATGAAGCTAACACATACTGCTAACACATGTGTGTGTGTGTGTGTGTGTGTGTGTGTGTGTGTGTGTGTGTGTGTGTGTGTGTGTGTGTGTGTGTGTGTGGGTGTGTGTGTGTGTGTGTGTCCCAGAGTTCAGCTGCAGTTTGCTCAGGGAGGGGGCTCTCATTAACACACACACACCCCTCTTTAAGTCAAGGTTTAAAGTCCTTCGGTCACAAAGTGTTTGCTCTGTCCTGATAGAGGGGGGCAGAGTCCAGGCGTGTGTGTGTGTGTGTGTGTGTGTGTGTGTGTGTGTGTGTGTGTGTGTGTGTGTGTGTGTGTGTGTGGGAGCTGTAGATCATCTGTTACCATGTTTCCTTTCAAGAACACGAACGTCACATCGAACATGGTATACACACAGACAAA